ATACCCAATAATATTGTGAAAATCCAATAGATTGTGTGACCAATATTATTGGTTCCAATAGATTGTGTGACCAATATTATTGGTTCCAATAGATTGTGTGACCAATATTATTGGTTCCAATAGATTGTGTGACCAATATTATTGGTTCCAATAGATTGGGTGACCAATATTATTGGGACCCAATATATTGTATTGGTGCATGCCTAGTCAGAAACCGACACGGAACCTGACACCGACGTCATCCTACGCTGTGCTCATACTAACTGAGCTGTAACGGGCTATGAACGATCACTTCTAGATTATATTCTAAAAATACACTTTTTTGACGTAAACCATATAAAATTAACGTTTTTAAAAAGTTTTGAGTAAAATGTACTACTGTTAGTATAAAATAGTTATCAGAATATGGTAAAAATCAGATAAGATTCTTGCAAGAAATTTGTTAAGAAATAGATAAAAATCACCTAACGGTTCTTGTCACTTTCTTATGAAACTCGTATCAGACTCTTATAGGACTTGCTTGGAATTCTCGGAATTTTTCTGCGGAATCCAGTAAGAAGATCAAATTCTTATAAGATTTGCCAAAAGATTTTCGTCTAGGGAAATTTCTCTTTCTATATGAACGTAAATAATTTTTACTGAAAGTCGTTTGAATAACTAGAACAAATAACTTGTTATGTAAGTTTGTACTCGTATATCGATGTTATAGTCACCTGCTAGAAAAAATTCAAATCGACTTTTTCGTTACTTGTTTTTATAAACACTCTCGTTATGCGCTGATCATAGCACACAAACTTTTGTTTATTACCATAATATATTATTAAACAATATAAAACATGAATATTCTTTCATAGAGAAAATGAGCGGCAGAACTCAAATAGCCAGAATTCGAGCTTCATGTCTGAAAATTAATAGAATTGTAAGCAACACTGATGAGTTTTCCGAAAGTGACGAACTTTAAAGAAATTATACATTATCACTAATGTGTTTCTAACACAGAATATTTTCGACTTTACTTAAACGATAAATATATATCTTGTTAATTACATTCATTAGATTAATAATATCGTGTGAATAATTACGTAAATCCGTCTGCTTCAGATACATAGAGATCATATTAAAATAAGGAAAACAAGATCTTGGTAGACTAGTCCCCGTCTCGCGAATTCAAGTAGTACTTTAGTTTAAGAGTGATTAATCAAACTGTATTGAGTAGGATTCTAATAAAGAATAGTATTTTTGGAAATGTATAAATTGAACAAAACTTTTCGTTTTGTTATTAAACATGTAGAAGAAATTAACGTACTATTGGTAGAACTACGAAATTTTTTCTCTCTCTTATTATTAAGCGTTTTTTTTACGTTACTGTTTTGATGGCATTCTTAATCTACAGTATGAGAAACTAATACTTATAAAAAATATAGCTGTAACGTTCTGTTACATTTAAGCTCCTCCCTCAGAAATGGTGATTTTCGGTCAAAAAGCGGTTTTGAGATAAGCACATGAAAAGATAGCCTGAAGTGTTTACTACCAGAATCTGTATTGCTTTTGGTTACAAAACTGGTTGTTTGGGGATTTTGAGCAAGTTTCCTAAGAGCCTCGAAAAAACGGGTCTTCAAATAATGGTTTTCTCCTGGATACTTATGCAATTAAATTTTTTCTGAGAACACAGCTTTGTAGAACAAACGTTTCTGATCAAAATAAGAGACCGTACAACTCTGTATGATCTTGCATTAAAAAGTTACAGGCATTTTCCTAGAAGTCCTGAAACAGAGTATTTCATACAGCGTTTAATACAGCGTTTTCACTATGTAAGAGTTACACCTGAAGTACGTCCCAAGATTTTTAATAGCAGTTTGTCGTAGAGAGTTCATTATTTTTTTGTTTAATAGAGGAAAAGAAATTATATCGACTGACCGGCGTCGATTTTTGAATTAGGTCTTAGTTTTTTTCAAACTGAGGATTTTTTGGGTTTCGGAAGTTGTTGGTTGCCTGGAAAACCAGTAAAGGCTTAATTGAAAAATCGGCCCTGGTCAGTTGATGTAGTTATGTGTCTAGTTTAAAATAAAACAAACCCCAACTCTACAGCTTGAAGTATATTAAAAAATCTTGGGACGCCGTTCAGGGTCCTTTTTGGATCCGGATCTCTGGAAAACTCGCAAACCGTAAGACTTGGAGGCAAAACAATTTTTTCATCCCCGTAACTCATTGTGCCTAACATTTATGGAAAGTTTCGTCAAGATCGAATGTACAGTGTCGGGGATAATTTCTGAGAGGGAGGGCTTAAATGAACTAGCCCTCCAAATTATTTACATAATACTAGAATATTACTTCATATTTAACCTTCTATACGGAATTCCTTTAGCACATTAGAAACTCAAAACAACATCTACAGCTCCTGTTTGATGCTTCTCAGTCTACCTTCCTTTAATTATCCATTGTGCGCGTATGAGTCATAAGATAAAAAGAGTTCTAAAAATAAGGAAAAGATTGAACCATAATAGCTCAACAAATGCAGAGCAGAACACTTAAATTTTTGTCTGCAGAAAAGGCACATCTACACAATATACTGAACATAAAGTGTGAAAGAACCATCTTGATCGGATAGAGAAGTGTGCGTGACAAAGTTTATTTAAATGTATCTTGACTCTTTTTTAAAAGATCGGATATACTAAAAGCTTAACCTTGGCTCGAGCTATAGCTGCCGAGACAGGATAAAAAGGGTGACAACGAATAGGTTTACGTGAATAGCTGCTAGAAAAGCATTAATCAATATTCGAAGTTTCTTTAGTAACGAAATTTTAGCTATTTATGACCTAAAATATATAAAGTTAGAAATTTGTTGATTACGAATAGATGAAAAATTTGAAACGATTTTGTGATTCTTATTCAATTCGGAAAGAGTGATGGTGATTTTTTTTCTTAGACCATACGATTTAGTCGGTATCTCTATCAATGGATATGGAGTTTATTTATTGATATCAAATGCATTGAAAACTTATGTTAGCTTGTCATCTTATAATTCTATATATTTTATTTAGATATTCTCTTTAAATTTAAAATAACAATGAATAATCATTTACAATTAATTTTTTTCTTGTAATAATTTAATAAAATACACACGTTTCACTCATCTTTTATACCACAATCGATATCAAACAAATGTTTTCTTTTTCAAGCTCATAAATTACTTTATTCTCCATTTCAGAAAAATAACACATTCCAATAAAGTAGAAAGGGTTTTAAACCGAGAAAAATAGACATCACAATGTACAATACACACGCACACAACACACAAAATAATAAACAGCAAAGAACAAAAAATATAAATGAACATAATAAAATTAAGAGAAGGAAATGGCAGGAAAAGAAAATCAGTTTTACCTTCAAAAATGAGAAATAATACACCCAAGTGCAATTTCTTAATTTCAGATGGTACTAGAATAAATAGCAGTTTGTGAGAAAGAAAATCTTTGCTTTACCATGCATGTAGAGTACATATCAAAGAGATAACGGAATGTTGAGCACTTCATGATAGGGACGCGACAGAAGGTCACTCCAACTCCAGAGATGGAAAATTTGTCTAGTGACTACATTACCATTGCAGGAAAAAAACGATTTGTCGGGAAAATTTAAGAAGCTAAATCAGAAAAAAAATATTGTTGAGAAATAGTCAGAATTAAATAAGGGAGAATGATCACACATATGACACATTCATAAAAAGGAGAATCATAATTTCGTATTACGTTAAGACTCTAGATACAAGAAAGAGGATCTTATTTTTCTTTGTTTACTGTTCTCATAAATAATAGCCATTTGCGAGTTTTTGAATAAGTTTCTGTTTTTGTAAACAAAATGTACTTGCACAAGACAAATGTTCATGTCCATATTTTTTAAATAATAAATCAAACTCATTTAAACTTGATCTTGATAAAGAGGATATTTTGACGAGAATATTTGTTAATGCTTTAATACCACTTGATAGATCTTCATATGTTTTATAGGGTGTCATTGTTTGTAATCCTTCTGGCCAATAATAATCAAATACTTCATCTGTTACATACGTCAGAATAAAACGAGAGATATACGTGGCTGATGCAGCGATTGATGACGATTTCAAACTAATACATTTAAAATCTAATAATGCCAAATCGATCAAATATTTTCCAATTGAATGTTACTCATCTGCTGCTGATGATAAAAATGAATATCGACGTAAAAATTGTAAAGTAAAAAAAGAAACTATACATTTTTTCCATTATGATTTTTGTGATTGTTTAGGGATTATAGAGTCCCCCAAACATGATGGACTTGAGATAACACCATGTCTAAGTTCAAGGATTAACTCAGTCTTAACTAAGTGTGATATTTAGCATTTGCCTCTACAATGTGTCCTTAGTGAAACAAAATTCATTTGGAAATTAACTAGCTCCTAGTTCTATAGAAGTTTTCTACGATATTAATATCTCTCCTTTAAATTTCTCCGTTTACAAACAGCATTCATCCTGGAGAAAGCATTCGTTTACTTAAATGTGTTTTCGATATCATCTTGTGAACAACTCATATAAGACCATTTCCTTATCTATTCTGATCAGATGAATTCGGTGAATCTTATTTTATACACGATTAAGATTAAAACTGCACCTTATTGGTCGATTTAACTCAAATTGTAAATCTTGTAAAAAATTTTCTTTCCATCTGTTTCAAATCAGTTGGTTTATATGGATTATCTGTTAAGATCAAATCGTCAATTGCTGATGTTGTATTTCTTCTAATTTTGTTGCTAATAACAATGTAGCAACACCTACTAATTGCAAATCTGTTTGTTGTGAAGTAGATGGCAACAATGAGCAATGTTGAAGAAAACGATTCAACAATTGAATACATACATGTAATGAATCTTGGGACAGACGAAAACGACAGTAAAACGATTGTATTAACTATTCGACTAATGTTGTTCGATGTTTAAATGTTATTTTCCATGTTTTTGATTCTGTTGATGTTCGTAAATAGGCGTTACTGACTGGATAATATAATTCGAGCGCATATAATAAATTCATAATATCACGAATATAATTCATTACATATATTTCACCATAGACCACTTGTTCGTCTTCATCTAATTCATCCTTTTCTTTACTATCAGATGGTGGTTTAATGGTAAGTATTTCTAATTGTTTATTCATCGGTAATGGTACTAGTCGCAATATAGGAGAAGAAATTCTTCTAGACTATGGGTCTGACGCGCCTGCACAAAGCAGATGAAGAAGTGTTGTCGAACGAGCTGATGATGAAGTAAATAACGATTGTTTTTTCTTATATTTTTCTTCGGTTGGTGGTTTATTTTCTTGATCTTTGGCGGCTATTTCTAGTTTTTTAACGTTTTCTGTTAATGATGACACAATAACTTGTTTTAATGTTTCAGCTTCTGTTGAATTGTTCATAGATGATTCAGATAGAATTTTTTTAACAGAACGACGTTTAAATATCACATTTTTTGTAACGCCGCTAGTTTTTCGGTATTGTTGTTCTTGTCTTTTAAAGACATTATTTTGAACTTGATCTTTATTCTTATTTAGTTCACTGTATGTATTCGATACTTGACTCAAGGATCGACGACTATTGACTGGTTGTGCCGGAACAATTGAACAACGCATTTTTGAGCTAAGTGATTGACGAGCTAAAGATGTGTTTGTTGGACGAATTGAAAATGTCGGCTTTGTTGATACATGCATCATTCAAATTTTCTTGGATCTAGAGACAAAGTAGACTCGATTCTGTCTTCTGTTGTAATAGGAGTAATTGCATCGGGTGCAAATCAGTTGATGGGAAAAATGTGTTTTGATCACCAAATTCTATTTCAACGAAATGATCACCAAATTAATTAGTAGACAGGCAAAAAAAAAGAATATGATGAAAATACCTAGAACAAGAATCGGTATACCACAAGAAATACGAACAGAAATTTTATTGTCAACAGTTGAAGTTTTTTGAAATTTTATTGATTTTGTCAACTCGAGCAACTATCTAAACTGCACAGGACACCATCAAAAAAATGTCGAAGCAAGGATGGAACGTTTTATGCACAGTGCAATCTTATGATGAAGCAAAAGAATTAGCGAAATCCCAATATGATGTATGTCAATGTCGTCGATCAGATTTGAAAAATCATGCAAAATATTTCAAATGCGGTGAGTGAAGAAAGTACCCATTATGTATTTTTGAAATTCAGATAATTATACCAGATAACGATGTACAATCAGTGACAGTTATGTCAAGAGGTATACATGCCCTAGTCGACTTTCTTGCGAGGGCTTTCTTGCCCAAGATCTTGCATTCTTGCTTAACAAGAACATCGACTAGGGTGGACATAAAGAAGGGGAACGTAATACAACCAGAAGCTTATTATCACCAGTTCGTAAATTCGTATTGAAATATGTTGAATGTGGCTTATCTCATTCTCAAATTAAATCATCGTTAGTGCAAGATCATCCAAGCACTCATCTAATAGAAACAAAATTAAGACGTTTAGTGTATTTCACGAACAACAAAAGAACAGACCAGAAATATTTTCAGTGTTTGATTTACGAAACTGGTGTAACGAGCATAATTAAGTAGATTGATATATTTCTTTTAATGATTCAAATTATGTAACGTGTGTATCCGCGTATCCAGGATCCAGTTAAACTAATGATAAGACCGAAAAAACATTTTATTATCATTTTAATTAACTCTAAATATCGAAAAAGAGAAAAACACTAAGGTAGATGTTTTTCATCTTACGAGGAAACATTCCCAGCTGTCCAACCCCGATTTCTTTCAAACATACATCAATCTATGTATGTATGTTTGAAACGTTCGGGTGGGACATTTCGTATGTTTGAAAGAAATCTGGGTTGAACAGCTGGGAATGTTTCCTCGTTAGCGAAGATCCGTTACTTCAAGCATCATACAAGGTTGGAGTCAGTGATACTGTAAAGTTTTAAATTCAGTCTAATAAAGACATTTTATTGCAATCGCCTTTTTTATCTGAAAAATAAAAACGAATTATCTGTCAGATCTAGCCCGTCATATTCATATTGGGTATCGTTTGTAAAATCTGTTGACGATATGATCATGAATAACTAGGGATGCATCATTATTTACCAGCTGAAATTCTGCACTTTATTCATAAAAAAATGTTCACACCGCAATATAATCTTCTAAAACTTTTTTGATGGGCTCAGTCTTTTAGAACAAACATTTCTCTACAAAATGAGGTAACAGCGCTAAGTATCCTGAATCAGTACTCAGATAAAAAATGTTTGATAGACGTCCCACGCCCGGTACTGATACCGATACTGGTTAATATCGATTTAGGACTTTTCTTGAGAAATGATTGTGACAGACAGAAAAAAGATGAAGAGTTGTGCTATACCGTACTTTATAGAAAAATGTTTGCTCTGCAAAACTGGGTCGTCAAAAAACTTGACAGTTTATAATTTTCAGTCACAATCTGATTCAGAAAACGAGAAAAATATACCGATAGATACCGATACATGCCTAGGGGTAATTCAGGACTCGCTTTCGTTCGTCTACTGGTTTTATTGACGAGCAACCTGAGCAGTTTCTTTTCTTCTCTGTTTTCGTTATAACTGATGATGATTGTTATGACCTTCCCATATGTATTGCTCCGATCGTTCCCATGGCGACAACCAACTCAAAACATATCGAAGGACATATTTAATTTTGTGTTACCTTCTATTAAACTCCAGTTTTAATATGAATTAATTGTATAAATTTCTTCGTATCTATCGTTCTGTAATATACGTTCAATCTTTTTATTTTTATTTCTCTCAGTTAACTTTTACCAGCTTAAACATTGTTTGTTACTCAGTCAACAAGACAAATAAAACAACTTAAATTCGTTCGTCAAGAATTTGAATGCTATCTTTTTACCTTTATGCGTTTCTTCAGACCATAGTAGATAACAAATACTATAAAACAAAATCATGCAAACACAACCAAGAAATTAATACTAACGTTAATAATGTATGCTTATCAACAATGACTTTCTCACGCAACGTTTCTACCGATGACAACACCACCGATGATGATGTTCTGGTACTACACAGTTTATGTGAATATGTTAATTGTTGAGGAGGTTCATGAGAATTTCGAAACGAGGCTTAATGCGGCTTATCTGTCAACACAATGGATACTTATGCTTTTGTGAAAAAGTTTTTGAAATTTTTTTATTACAGGCATTCGCTAGACAAAACATATACCAGTACACCGACGACGAGTACAATGTGGTTCAAAAGCCTGTTAATGATAATCGGGTAAGAAAAAACTTGCTTCATAGTAAAAACTCATCGAATTACAAGCGCTAAAAAATTGGTTTATGTGGCATGGCGCTGAATCGAAGTTTCTGGCTTACTAGATATACCAGACTGTGAGTGGAGACAACAGCTTAAAAGCGAATGCAAAAATTAGTAGTGGAAACACGTGCGTAAAACTGGACAAGTCTAACGGAGTACTGAGTCTGACGAGGGACACTGTTCAAGTAATAAATTGCTTTTTCAATAAAACCTAGTGGGTTATAGGTTATCGACGATGCTGATTCTGAATATGATCATGAGAACGGTCCTTAGACCTCCAGAAAACTGGTTTCTGGAAAACCATTTTTCTACGACAGAATTTTCAACTAAAAACTTTTCTGATCTGTCCGGCTTGTAGAGCATGTCGAATAGGTTTTAAAAAAATATTTTTGGTTTGACCAAACCAGTCTTAAATCGACCTACAAGGATTGTTTCATTTTGTGCGATAAAGCGAACAGTATGTGTAAGAAGAAAAATACTTGTCCAGCACATCAATAAAACACGTGTGTCGTACCGAAACCTAAAGCATGTCGACTTCTGACCTGATAGAAGGTTATGCCGAAAGTTATGGCCCGATTAGATCCGATATTGGCTTTTTAATATTTTATTGATGTGTTGGGCAAGTATTTTTCTTCGCTTTACCGCACAAAATGAAATAATCCTTGTAGGTCGATTTAAGACTGGTTTGGTCAAACCAAAAATATTTTTTTAAAACCTGTTCGATGGAATATTCTTTGATTACACGGAAAAATTCCGTTGTCTACACGAAAATATTGAGACATTTAATCGAATATGGTAAAAAGTTGAATGTGGAAATGAATCCACAGCGCCTGATCTGCGATTTCGAAGGAACCCTAATAAATTCTTTTGTCGATATTTTTTCATATATCAAAATCAATGGATGCTTCTTCCAGTATGCTCAATCGTTGTGGAGAAAAATTCAGGAAGTCGATATAATGCGTCAGTTTGAGAAAACAAATAACAATAATAATGTAATACCGAAGATGTAACTTAGTCCATTATTTAGTTGTACAATCCTCGGGAATCCAATACCTCGAAAAGCATCTTTATGTTCTTGCTTTCGTTTTTCAGCTCTCGTTATTCATCCAATATAACTGTTTATACACTCACAACAGTCATATATAGCACCGTACGCAAGAGGTACGGACATTTATATTAAAGCTAATTAAGTGTAACCTAATATGGGACGAACTGCGAGAGAAGTGTTGATGAGACGAATTGAGAAAAATAGTTCTAGGACGAATTATTTGGGACGAACTGAGAAAAAAAGCTTCGTGGGAAGAATTGAGAAGTCAATTTGGGACGAACAGAGAGTAAGCCCAAGTTGGATGTCCTCGCGGTAGATCTACTAAACAAACATATTTTTCAAGTGAACTGAAAAGAATTCGTTCAGCGTCTCCATTTCGTCTTTCTCTAAGAAACAAAAAATGAACCAGCGGGCTTTGCCTCGTCAAGTTTTCAAAAATTCTTCGCCCACCTCAGGTCCGTCGTGAATTTGGCTGTAGAGTACCTTTCGAGTTCGATAATTCTCCAAGTTTTCTTTCGATGTGCTTTTTATTTTTCGTTCTTACTCTAGAGTGGAGTGGGATAAATTGGCACGAAATTCTACCACCTTGCAGTATTTTAATCGTAATTCTCTTAATTTCTGAAATTTTTCTGCAAGCTTCTGCAGACATATGAGTTAGACTTTCCTCTATTGATCCATGTA